ACTTGGAAATCCACAGCACAAAGGTGGTGCCTGGGTTGGAAGGCAGCTTAAGACAGCACAACTAGTCTACCTGACTCATTAGTGATCAAAACTCTTTTTAAACTGCTCTGGCCAGCTGCCACTTACAGATCTGTCATTATCTCTAATTAGCATGTCTGTAGAGGAGAATCTAATCACCTTGAAGGGATAAGTGTTTTCAAGGAGATTAGAGAGGATCTTTAGGCAAGTATTAATTAATCAAAGGTTGACATTGGCCCTTGTGATCAATGCTTCTGAGGAGTGCTGTCTTCTCCAAGCAGCTTTCTCATGTTTCAAGGAGTGTTTCGAGTTCCATGTTGTCACCCGTTACCCATGGGTTAGATGTCTGGAGAGTCTGCAGTGGTACTTCTGTGGTTGCAGGATGCAGTAGTTCAATCAGTGCCAAATCTGACACGTGCTGGGTGTGATTCCATCATTTTTGTGGAGTGAAAGACCTCTCAGCAGCCTTAGCTTCCCTGGCAGGGGTTGCTTTTGGATGAGCGGTGGGTGCCTGGGGCAGCTGAGCTGCCTTGTATCCTGCTGAGGTGGAGGGCATGGGCAGCTGGGTTCCCTGGGAAAGCTGCCTTTCCCAGAGCACCATTCTTCACTGGCTTTGTTTATTCAGCACTTAACTCCTGGTTAGCACTGTAAGTACAACCCTGAGGGGTTATTTTCCTGCTTCTTGCACTGAGCCTCCAGCTGAAAGCTGAGGTGGTTGGTTCAGGCAGGAGCTTAAAACTGCTGTGGATAGAGATGTGGAGGAATGGAGAGCTTCCAGAGGAGACCTCAGGGGTTTTTGATCTGAACCCCATTCAATGTAAGGCCACCTGATGAGGTTGCTCAGGGCCTTGAGGTGCTGAGGTTTGAATGTCTCTGAGGTATGAGATGACAGAGGCTCTCTGGGCTCCTCTTCCACTCTTTGACCACCCTCAAAGGAAAAATATTTCCTTATATTTAGCTTATGCACAATAAAATGAGGAGAGAGATACTTTCCTGGAATGATTTTTGTAACAGCTTGTCCCTCCTCAGACACAGAAGGAGCTGAATGTCCTTGACTGTCATTCTTGGGGTGCAGGTTTCAGGGTCAGCCGTGTAGCTGTGTGGTGACTTTGAGCTACTTGCTTTTAAACAGCATGTTAATAATTTTGTGTTCCCAGTCATCTTGTTTTCACGGGATGCTCCCTTAATCCATATGGCACTTTGCTGTTGCTCATTGTTTATCTCTTGCCCATTTTTGAGGCTGTTTTTCTTCTGTAACTGGGGACACAGCTCCCGTGGTGGGTCAGAGCAGGGAGTGCTGCCCTGGTGGGGCAGCTTGTGGCTGATGGCTCTGCTGGGGTTTAGTGCTGCAGGGGGGAGCCAGGCACCCTTGCTGCTGACACTGCAGGAGAGCCTGAGACACAGAGCTTGGTCCTTCAGGGTGTTTTCATCATGGCCTGGTTATTAGCACTGCATGAAGATTGTTGTACCCGATCCTTTGGTGGGACCATTGCACCTGGTTCTGTCTGCTGGTTGCAAACCCCCAACAACAGCCATGAACTATCTTGATACTTTATTTCCACCCACATAATCTTAAATATAGTGGCCCAAATCCCAGGCTGGTTTGGGTTGGAAGGGGCTTTCAAGATAAACTAGTCCCAACTCCCTGCCATGGGCAGGGACACCTCTGGCTAGACCAGGTTGCTCCAAGCACATTCCAACCCAGCCTTAGAATCATAGAATCATTTTGGTTGGAAAAAACCTTTTAAGATCAAGTCCAACTGTTACCCTAGCACAGTGCCAAGTCCACCACTAAGCTGTGTCCCTAAGTCCCATATCTAGTGGCACTGTGCAAGCACTATTTACTGGTTTGTCTTGAGCAGAACTGGCTTTGGAGAGGGGCAAGGTGGCCTGGTGCTGTGTGGGAGGGCTGCAGCCTGTGTGTCTTGAGGTGGATGGCGTGGTGAGCTTCAGGTAGTGTTGCTGACACTGCAGTTTTTAGTTCCTGATGCTGTTTGCAACTATGAAGCATATTTATGGGCTGGGCTGCTCGGATACTTATGGGAGGGTAAGATGCCAGTCACTGTTTCTGCTCTCAATGGTTGCAGCTTTTGTTGCTGGAGAACATGTGGTTATGCCTCTGCTGTAGCCTTCTCCCTTGTCCTCTGCAAGGGCAGGGGAGGTCACTGCTCCTGTCCTGTGTTCCTCCCACACGTTGCTGGTAGCTGCTGCTCAGCTCTGCCTCTTGCAGCCACGGGCTTGTGTGGGCTGGCTGCTACTTGGTGACAGCAGTGGCTCTGCGCACCCCTGAGCAGTTGCTGCCAGGCTGGAGCTCTGTGGGTGCTGCTGGGCAGCTCTGGGGGTGGTACTGCTGTCTCCTCCCCTTTGGTGGGACCATTGCATCTGGTTCTGTCTGCTGGTTGCAAACCTCCAACCACAGCCATGAACTATCTTGATACTTTATTTCCACCCACATAATCTTAAATATAGTGGCCCAAATCCCAGGCTGGTTTGGGTTGGAAGGGGCTTTCAAGGTAAACTAGTCCCAACTCCCTGCCATGGGCAGGGACACCTCTGGCTAGACCAGGTTGCTCCAAGCACATTCCAACCCAGCCTTAGAATCATAGAATCATTTTGGTTGGAAAAAACCTTTTAAGATCATCAAGTCCAACTGTTAACCTAGCACAGTGCCAAGTCCACCACTAAGCTGTGTCCCTAAGTCCCATATCTAGTGGCACTGTGCAAGCACTATTTACTGGTTTGTCTTGAGCAGAACTGGCTTTGGAGAGGGGCAAGGTGGCCTGGTGCTGTGTGGGAGGGCTGCAGCCTGTGTGTCTTGAGGTGGATGGCGTGGTGAGCTTCAGGTAGTGTTGCTGACACTGCAGTTTTTAGTTCCTGATGCTGTTTGCAACTATGAAGCATATTTATGGGCTGGGCTGCTCGGATACTTATGGGAGGGTAAGATGCCAGTCACTGTTTCTTCTCTCAATGGTTGCAGCTTTTGTTGCTGGAGAACATGTGGTTATGCCTCTGCTGTAGCCTTCTCCCTTGTCCTCTGCAAGGGCAGGGGAGGTCACTGCTCCTGTCCTGTGTTCCTCCCACACTTTGCTGGTAGCTGCTGCTCAGCTCTGCCTCTTGCAGCCACGGGCTTGTGTGGGCTGGCTGCTACTTGGTGACAGCAGTGGCTCTGCGCACCCCTGAGCAGTTGCTGCCAGGCTGGAGCTCTGTGGGTGCTGCTGGGCAGCTCTGGGGGTGGTACTGCTGTCTCCTCCAGGCCAGGCATGCAGAGATGACTAGTGTCACTTGCCTTTTGGCTGGAGCTCATATGCCTGTCTTTTTCCAGGGGAATATGGATTCAGTTCTGACTTCTTTTGCTCCGGTTACAGGTTTAAATTCATGCTTGTGTGTTCTGTCATCCTCTGTGCCACCGTGAGTCAGTGGTGAAAGAGCAGATCTGCCTTGTCAGAAGTAATGCAAAAAACCTGCTGTGTTTTTCCTTCCAGTATCTCTTTTAACCTGCCTCATTTCTTCCCAGAGGAGTTTTCAATCAGTTCAGAGCCCTGTAACTCACTTCTGACTGACCTGGACTCATAAATGGCATTGTAGCTAGATGAGCTACCCAAGTCATTTTAGGTAACATACATAAATGGGCAGTAGTATCAGAGCCCTTTGCTTTGTGTAGGTCTCTTCAGATCTAGTTCTGATGGCAAACAACCCGGGTCATCACCCTGAAATGGGAGCTGTCCCAGCCTGAGATCTGGAGGGCAGGCATCTTGCTGTGCTGTGGTAGCCTGGAGATCTGTCCCCTGAACAGGGGCTGCCCCTGAACCCGAGCTGCCTGGGGGTGTTAAATGTCCCTTCAGGTCCTCATCGTGCCGTTCCATTATTTTAATTGTTCCTTTGGCAGGGGTCTTCCTACGTTTCATATCAGCCTTTGTTTGGTTTCAATCAAAAGGCTTGATTAATAATTGATGCCTCAATGTTTCTCAGCCTGCGGGAGGCAGGCAGGGCAGGGGTTAGGGCTGGAGGTAAGGAAGCTGTGCTTGGTGCTGGTCAGGCTGCTGGCTCTCCTGGCTGGCTGTGAGGAGCCAGCCCAGCCTGCAGCCTCTGCACAATCAACCTCAGAATTAAAGATGCAAATTGCAAGTGCCAGGGGCATGATTCGATTGGCAGTGGCAGCTCTGGGATAAAAGCAGAACAAATCTCCTTGGTCCCGTTCCAGATTCCTCCACCTCTGCCTGCCAGGGGCTCCTGGCAGTGCGGGCTGAGACCTGGCTCCTTGCTGTGCTCCTGGCCTCCGGGTGCTGTTGGACATTGCTGAGCTGCTGGGGCTGCTGCTCCTGGGTCCTGTCATGCAGCTCGTGGTGCCCACATCCCAGGGTTGGTGTTTCTGCAGCGTCAGCAGCGTGGCCGGGCTGCTCACCCGTGTTCCCCCTGCGTCCAGCCCTCCCTCCTGCCGCTCTCATGTGGGCACAGCTGGAGTCCTGTCAACTTCCTGGGTTTTTAAATCTCTTTTATCTAATTCCTCAAGGGTATTTCTCCTTTGAAATCACGACTGGGTGATGTATGTCCCTACAGTGACTCAGGGGAAGGTCCTTCATTCCCTAAAAATAGTTTTAATTCTCCAAGTCTTTCTAGATGCAGAGCACTGTCTGGGCACACACAGCAGTTTAAAGAAGCTTCTGCAGCATGTGAAGATAAATCTGGTGTGGTGGGAGTCTGTGCTTTTCTCTTTTCCTTCCTTAACACACAGCAGTGATTCCTGACTATTAATAGCAAGAGCAGATTTCTGCTAAGCACTTTATAAGGAACAGAGCAGGAAAATGTCCTTTACACCTACTGCTTAAGTATTACAGCTCTATGCATATGATCTTACTTTAGGTTGGTTGGGTGGTGCTGATACTTGAGCACTGCAGCTGCCTGGCCTTTTGGAAAACTGTAAACTGCTGCTTTCTCTGGGAAAAATAACCTGGGGGTCCTGGTGGACAACAGACAGGCTGACCATGAGCCAGCAATGGGCCCTGGTGCCCAAGAAGGCCAATGGCCTCCTGCAGGACATCAAGAAGAGTGTGGCCAGCAGGTCAGGGAGGGTCTTCTGCCCCTCTGCTGTGCCCTGGAGAGGTCACAGCTGAAATGCTGTGTCCAGATCTGTACTCCCCAGTTCATGAGGGACCAGGAACTACTGGAGAGAGTCCAGCACAGGCCACAGAGATGCTGAGGGGCTAGAGCATCTGCCTGTGAGGAAAGGCTGGGAGAGCTGGGGCTGCTCAGCTGGAGGAGGAGACTGGGGGGGATCTGATCAGTGTTGATCAGTATCTACACGGGGTGTCAGAGAGATGGGCCAGACTCTTCTCAGTGGTGCCCAGTGAGAGGACAAGGGGCAATGGGCACAAGCTGGAGCACAGGAGGTTGAAGTTAAACATAAGGAAAAACTTCTTTCCTGTGAGGGTGACAGAGACCTGGGACAGGCTTCCCAGGGAGGCTGTGGAGTCTCCACCCCTGGAGACATTCCCAACCTGTGGAATCTGCTCTAGGTTATCTTGCTCTGGCAGAGGTTGGACTAGATGATCTGCAGAGGTCCCTTCCAACCCCCACCACTCTGTGACTATGGCATAGCTGTCAGATGTGAAAATGGACTTGCAGGAGTAGCCCTGGATGGGCAGCAAAGCTCCTTTGGGAAGAAGCTTGACCTCCTGCTGCCGGGCAGGCATTCAGGTTACTGGCTTTGCTCTCCAGGGCTGCTCCCTGTGGTGTGGGGTGACCACAGGCTGTAGCTGCAGCACTTGTCACAGCAGAAAATATCCATGGCAACTCATTTGCCAGTTCCGTGAATCTTCACGATTTTAGAAGTTTTTCGCTCTGTGAAATGCACAGGGGTGGTTCCACAAACTTTTTTTTTCAGGTCTTCTGCAACTGTCAAGAGTCGTGGCTCTTCTTGGAAACGTGTGAAAAATACATCAGTCCCAGTTCAGAAGATGGGGTGAGTTTGGCTGTGTTTGGCTCCAGAATGACCATGGGTGACTGGGATATGCTCATGCCCCCAGGGAGATGTGCCCTGTATCTTCAGCTGGACTGTGCATGAGTGGGAAGTACCTGATGAAATAAATAAGAATCTTCTTGTCTTAAGAATGTGGAGATGATGTGCAGCAGGTGAGGTGCCACCTGTGCCTGCAGCTCATGAAGAGTTAAGTTGTTCCAGGCTTTGGTTTGAAGTCCTCTTTGGAGGCATCTGGAGGTGAGGGCTCAGGTGGTGTGTGTGGCTCTGTTCTTGAGAAGCCCCATCCTTGATTTTTTTAAAAGACCAAGACCTCCAAACTTGGCTATTTCCCAGTATGCCTGTTACTGTGTTGCTGGATGCTGTTTATTTGCCCTCCGTTGTTCCAGGGTGTTTCCCAGCAGAGCTTGTGGAGCAAAAATTACTGCAGGTTTGCAGTGTGTGGTCGGGTGAAACTAATATGTGGCTGTATGTGATCCCAGCAGTTTTTCCTTTTCCTGTCAGTTGGGTCTCTCCATGGTCTGTTGGTGAGGGATTTCTGCTGGCTTCCCAGCTTTAAGTCATTCCTGGTATGTAATTTTTGTAAGCAAAGAGGGAAGAGAGTCAGAGAAAAAGAGATTTTGCAGTGGTACCAAAGAGCTGCTGGGCTGTGTGGGACTGTCTGGTGACAACACGTAGGAGTTTGATGCTGGTGTGGTGGTGATGCTCTCAGTAGCCATATCCCATCAAGGACTGATGAGGATTAATGTGCAGCTTGATGTTTGTTATTGTGTAGTGTTTGAACATGTAATTTGATGATTTATTTATTTTTTTTTTTGGCAGGCTGGATATGGTTACACCACATTAGTCCTAGTCTTTTCTTTGTAATGTCTTTATTGATGGGTGAGTGCTCTTGCAGCCTGCCTGTGCTGATAGCAGATGGGGCAGAGGGGTTGCTGTGTTGGGAGGCAGGCCTGGATTTTGGAGGGACCGTGGCAGGCTGGAGAATCAGGGTGATGGGCACCTTGTGGTGTTCAACAGAGGATAATGCAAACCCTGCCCTGGGGTAGCTGGCCAGTAGACAGCTTTGCAGAGGAGCCCCTGAGGGGTGGACAAGATGACCGGGAGCCATTAGAGGTCAGCTGTGTTAGCAGCAGTGCAGCACTGAGAGAAGGGGCCTGTCCCCTCTGCTCAGCACCAGGGAGGCCTCTCTGGGCTCTGGATCCAGTTTGAGGCTCCCCAGGATGAGGCTGGACTGGTGGAGGGATGTGGATCAGCTCATCCTGGAGCAGAGAAGGGGGAACACAGCTACATGGTGGGAGGGTGTGGAGAGGACAGAGCCAGGCTCTGCTTTGGGGATAGAGGGACAGGGTGAGGCCACAGGTCCATACCAGAGCACAGGAAATTCCACGTGGGCACAGGGAAACGTTTTCACTGGGAGTGGTGGCCAAACTCTGGGACAGGGGTCTGGAGAGGGTGAGGAGATTCAAGCTGTGTCTAGATGAGGTCTTGAGCAACCTGATTTGGTTGCTTGGGTTGGACCTGAGGCCTTTTGAGGTGCCTTCCAATCTCAGTTTGTGTGCCATTCTGTCATTGTTTGGCTTCTGGTGCTTACAACTTGGTAAGTTTGCCTTCAGCTCTCTAGATACTGATGGAGGATGAAGAAAAGCTGCATCCCATCTAGGCTTGCCCTGACAGTGCTGAGGGAGCACTGGAGAGTCCTGTGTCTGGACACTTCGGGCTGTTTCAGAGACTCCTGCTTCCATGGTATTCCATAATCCTTCCTGCTACAGGGAGTTCACAGTGTGACACCCTCATTTATTCTCTTTTCTTCCCCCCAGTTTGTGTCTAAGTGCAGGTATTGAGGACAGGCAGCTGGTGCTGGGTGTGCTGGCTGAGGGAGGGCAGGAGAGCTGTGTTGGCAGAGCTCCTGGAGGGAAGAGCTACCTGGGGAGGTCACCAAATGTGGGCTGAGAATAGCTGGCCGGGGTGTGCGGAGTGTTGAGGTGTAACTGGTGGTTGACTGTGTCCTTCTGGTTGTTCCTGCTCCACTTGCCTCACGGGTGAGAGTCGGGGCACGACCTGGGGAGGTAGGGAGGGATGTGTCCCTTTTGGTGCCTCGTGTTCAGGAATGAGCAGGACCCACTTATGAATCTGAAAAACTGCTTTGGTGAGGAATCAGGGCTCCAGCACAGCCCAGACAACGTGATCTCACTGTGCTGGGTCTCAAGTTGATTTTGAGGGTCTGACTTTGCAAGAGCTGGCCTTGCTCATCCAGCCCTTCCAGCTCTTGGTTCCTGCTCTGATTTTGGCTGCACTGCATTGAAAAAAAACCCACCACAGTACAGTTTTATTCTCTAAAGTTCTAAGTTGGCCCCTAAATTGACAGAAGGACTTCTGCCTGATGCTGGGGCAGCCTGAGGACTGGCAAGCCAGTACAAATGCCTGCTAAAATGCCAATAATATGCTGGCTACTAATGAGCAGGTGTCACCCTGGAGCACAGGGCATCATCACAGGGATGGAGCGAATTACATTTTTGACTTGCAAGCACCACAACATTCTTTACATATTTTTGCTGTTTTTCATTTGTCTTGTAAGGAAACAAGTTAAATCCAGCAAGCCCTTTGTCCCATGTGTCATGTAGGGAA